AGCGTGTTATCGGTTAATCCTTTGATCGATGTTTATAATGTTGAATATTTACTCCAGACACAAGAAATGCCAAATGGGAACCTTGTCGGGTATTCTAAGTGTGTTACCACTAATTATACCTGTTATAAATTCATTAACTGACCATCAACTAAATGATGACGAATAACATGTGTAGGTTTATACCACCTAACACGGGTTACAACGAGGGAGTATTAATTGCTGTATTGCATGTGAAAACTTATGGGCCGACACTGTTTTGAGAATACAAACAGATTTTTACATGACATGATTAAATATCGAGGTAAAACAACACAGAAATGGGATCAATTTGGATCAGTCATTATACAAATAGGGCCTAACGACACCAATCGATTTTGACAGAATCGTCTATGAAAACAAGTTGTAACTCGGAAACTAGGCAAAGCAGGAGACAAAATTAAATGACAGTAGATTTTGAGAACATATAGCTTTCATTTTCCACAACAATTGTCACGAATTCAGGTTTATACTAGCCTGTAAACACGATAATTTACCCCCTAAAATGTAGATGAATTCTGCATCGGCTCTCAAAGCTATTCCTCATATGACGTCACAGAGACGCCCCGCTCTGATTGGTTGAAATTTCGTTCGCGGGTGAGAATTGTGCACTGTTGTCAAAAAGGTCGATTTAAGTCAATTAAAGGTCGAAATGAGTAGTTTTAATGACGGGGTTTCATTTATAACGATGCCAGTTAGTGATTTATGTATTTGTACCCCCTAGGGTTTATGTGACCTTTAAATAATAATTGACCTGATTAAAAAGATCCTTCATTGATCCTCCCTTGTGACAGAAAAATCAATACTGTCAAGCAGAACATGCTTGACCGTGATTGTCTCATCACAAGGGATACAGAATGGAGGATCCTCAGCTTTCAACAACAGGTACTCATGAGTATATCCATCCTCGATAATCTCCAGGGTATACGTTACGATCACTCGGCCCGATGATTTTATTACCTCCCTTTGCTGGCTTTTTATCCAATCAGGTGTCTACGCTGGGAAGTTGAGCGAACCAATCACACTGTCGCTTCTCAAATTATCTAACTGTTTAAAACTTGGCTACACAATTGATGCAGAGGTACGTATAGGTGGATCCAGAGGGGGTGCATGGGTGCGCAACCCCCTTTTGTCCTGAAAGTTTATTAAATGACCATTGAAACTCGGATGAAAATGAAATGTGCACCCTCCCTTTTCTCAATAGTATGCACCCCCCTTTCTAAGAAAGCTGTATCCGCCCCTGGGTACTCTGAAAGAGGTAGAAGGAGTTCTTTCATATATTTTCAAAAAGTTTCAGATCTGTCAATTTGTCTGTATGATTTCCCCAAAATATGAGTGGCACTGCGAACAAACCTTCGCGACTGCGACGGCTATCTTTGTTGACACTGGCAAGCTCGGATGTAACGGCGGCTTAGCTGATTGGCTACTGTGAGAATGCGGAGCCAGCAAAGGGAGGTAATATAATTATCGGGTCAAGCCGTGGATGCATCCAATGTATAGTGGAGAGTGATCGTAACGTATACCCTGGAGATTATCGAGGATGGAGTATATCTAGTATATGATCAATACGACATCGTCGCAAAATAACTTCTTCAAATCTGTACAGCGAGTAACCTCTGCATGGGTACTACATAATTTGATCATGAGAAATGATCTGAACACTGAACCTGTCCTTAAAAGATGTCTATTGAACAATTAACATGAGTCGAACAATCATTAAATCAAAGCATCGTGTAACAGAATGATGCCATTTGGGTTGAAATGGAGTTTTCAGACTTCTAAAACATACAGGTGCCTGACCTGAAGAGTAACGTGACGCCCGACAGTTATGGATACTTGACTTCTACTAGGCTACCTAGTTGTTCCTGTGTAGAAGGGCGCGGAGACATCCCATGGACGATATCATTACCCAGTCCTAGGTTGCTGACTAGGTTCACCTCTTTTGTCATGTTTACGAGGAGCCCGACTTTCGGAACAGAAGGTCCCTGGTTCGAATACAATATATATCAAAATCATGTGAGATTAGACTATGCGATTCATGGACTTCAAAAGACAGAAGTCGCTGGGCCGAATCGACCGTGCTGTCGGATAGCTATCAGGTGGGAAAGGGCGTGTCACTTTATCTGAAAATATATGAAAGAACTCCTTCTACCTCTTTCAGAGTACCCAGGGGCGGATACAGCTTTCTTAGAAAGGGGGGGATGGGGTGTTCATACTATTGAGTGAGTGAGTGAGTGAGTTATTATTTAACGTCACATCGGCAATATTGCAGCCATATCGTGACGAGTACATATTTGATTTTGAAGTGGAATATATGTATAATATAAAAACCTGTCGACGAAGGACAGTAAAACAACTAGAATATCACAATTAGAATTAAAACTAGCGTGGAAAGTTTAAAACTAATAGCACTATAGGGACAGCACAATATAAAAACAGGCTATAGATCGCCAACAACAGAAGGTAGATCACCATACTAGGGACCATGGGGACTTACAGTACCTTTGCTACCTGCATGGACCCTAGTTGGATTTACACCATCCCTTCAGCCGTTGGCGATTATAAGAAATGTTAGCCAAAATTAAAATAACAAGAATACTACGTTTAAAAATCCTGGTAAGTTTAAATTGACTTTCAAAGTTTTGGGACTTACGTACCCGCATACTATTGAGAAAAGGGAGGGTGACAATATCGTGTATAGGGATTTCAAGAACATCAAATATGAAAACAGACGTGAAGACCATAGAATAATCCGCCGATATAAATTCTCCTGGTCATGAAAGGAAACTAGGGGTGATTAAGGTATGAATGCAACAAACTAGTCTGTACAGTGAAGGCACAATCACACAAATACACAATGCCATCAATGGAAGCTATTACTAGCAATGGCGAAGTCGTGTAACGGTTGACCTGTTCAGGCCTGAAGGGACAAACTTTGATTTTATGGCGAGGGGTCGTGTGAAAGGGTGCTGAAATTAATAAAAAATATCAGGTCAAATATGGAGATCAACATAGCCTCATTCAAAAGGCTTAGTCTCTGCTCAGCCCGACTAGGCCCGTGCTGTCAAATTACCTTAAACCTCACACATCTGTCTGTCAAATATGCAGAATTCAACGGTGGGGTAGCCTAGTGGTTAAAGTGTTGTCTCGTCACGTTCAAGACCCGGTTCGATTGGCCCACATGGGCTGTCAAAAACATTTCTGGTTAAACCTCCATATTGCTGGATATTGCTAAAAGTTAAATAAACTCAGTCAGTCAGTGTTGAATTCCATAGATGAGTATTATATCTACCTAAATATCACCGTGTGATGTTACAAAATGCCACATGTAAGGAAAACTGGTTCGTTAAAGTGAAGCCCTTTTCTCTCTCCATTCACAACATAGCCTCAATGAAAAGTGTTTAGTCGCTCTTCGGCCCGACTTCGTCCGGGCTGTCAAAAACAACCTAAACCTCACCCATGTATCTTGAAATGTGCTAATATCCATAGAGTAGTATTATTTCTACGTACATATCACTTCACAGAGTCTCAAAGCGTAGTATTTGAAGCAAACACCTTGCTCAAAGTGAAGCTATCTTTTCTACATATTCTCAACAAAGACACTGTATCACAAGCGATCGGTCCGCCTTGGCCCGGACTCTCATAAACATAAACTTAAACCCCACACATGTATCCTGATTTGTGTTTAAATCCATAGATTGGTATTATATCTACCTAAATATCAATGTGTGATGTTACAAAATGGCACATGTAAAGAAAACTGCTTCGTTAAAGTGAAGCCCTTTTCACTCTCCATTCACAACATAACCTCAATCAAAAGTGTTTAGCCTCTGTTCAGCCCGACTTGGCCCGTACTGTCAAAAACACCTTAAACCTCACACATGTATCTTGAAATGTGTTTAAATCCATAGATTAGTATTATATCTACCTACATTTCACGTCACGGAGTCTCAAAGCGTAGTATTTGAAGCAAACACCTTGCTGAAAGTGAAGCTATCTTTTCTACATATTCTCAACAAAGACACTGTATCACAAGCTTTCGGTCCGGCCTGGCCCGGGCGCTCAAACGCATCTTATACCTCACAGATGTATCTTGAAATGTGTTTAAATCCATAGATTGGTATTATATCTACCTAACTATCACCTTGTAATGTTATCAAATGCAACATGTAAAGATCAGATGATTTGAAAATAAGCTGCTACTGCCCAGCTCGGACAGTTAGGCGAGACACTGTGGATTTAATGAAAACATACTTCTCCCACTTCTCTCTCTAATACTTCTATTGTCTGTATGCGTGTTCAGGAAAACAGGATTATCAGAAACGCTTGAAGTTTACAACATCCGGAAACGGCATCTCCGAGTAACCTTTGGCAAAGCTCTCACAGTGAAAACAATGTTCTCCCGAGCCTGAGCTGGGCAACACAGTGTCATTGCCGTGGATGTGTTTTCATACTTTCGTATGTTCAAATTATATAACCATAACATCTCATACGGCAAGTCATTTTAGCTGATACCTTCTGATATTTATTAAATTACTGATATGTTCAAATCATGTCATGAATAGCTTCAGCCGGCTATCTATATCTGTACTAGTATGAATTGATGTTTATACTGTGGAAACTGTACGGAGAACATCCTGTATTCTGAACCACTAAAAACCCCACCTCTTTCAAGCATTTCATGTCATATAATTGGGTGTAATATCTTCTGATATTTATTAAGTTAATTATATGTGTAAATCATATCACGAATAGCTTCAGCCTACCATCTGTATCGGTACTAGTATTCATTAATGTTTATACTCTGGAACATGTACGGAGAACATCCCATACGCAGCATAACACGAGTGGAAGCATAAATAATTATATATATCTATTATATATTATATATGCATTTGAGATAAACGTTATGAAGAAACGGTGGAGTAATCAATAACACTGAAGGCCCCTGAACTGTAATTAAGGGAAACAATGGAGTATGTTAATTGAATCACAACACCTAGCTGATTGCAATTAGACAAGAGGCAATTAAGCAAGCTCGATACAGGTGTAATTAACAGGTGTATTAATTTCATTAGCCCGCACAGAGCCAGATGGAACACTGGGCTTCACTTTAAGCAACGTGTTAGATTCAAATACATGTCCGAGGCTTTGCGCCTCAATAAAGAGGTATTTAGGTAGATATAATACCAATCTATTGCTTTAAACACATTTCAAGATACATCTGTGAGGTTTAAGGTGCGTTTGAGAGCGCGGGCCAAGCCGGACCGAAAGCTTGTTATACTGTGTCTTTGTTGAGAATGTATAGAAAATAGGACTTCACTTTAAGCAACGTGTTGCTTCAAATACAAAGCTTTGAGACTCTATAAAGACGTTTTTAGGTAGATATAATACAAATCTATGGATATAAACACATTTCAAGATACGTGTGGGGTTTAGGTTGTTTTTGACAGCACGGGTCAAGTCGGGCTGAACAGAGACTAAACACTTTTGATTGAGACTACATTGTGAATGGAGAGAGAAAAGGGCTTCACTTTAACGAAACAGTTATCTTTACATGTGGCATTTTGTAACATCACACATTGATATTTAGGTAGATATAACACTAATCTATGGAATTAAACACAAATCAGGACATATGTGTGAGGTTTAAGGTGTTTTTGACAGCACGGGTCAAGTCGGGCTGAACAGAGACTAAACACTTTTGATTGAGACTATATTGTGAATGGAGAGAGGAAAGGGCTTCACTTTAACGAACCAGTTATCTTTACATGTAGCATTTGATAACATTACAAGGTGATAGTTAGGTAGATATAATACCAATCTATGGATTTAAACACATTTCAAGATACATCTGTGAGGTATAAGGTGCGTTTGAGAGCCCGGGCCAACCGGACCGAACGCTTGTGATACAGTGTCTTTGTTGAGAATATGTAGAAAAAGAGCTTCACTTTCAGCAACGTATTTGCTTCAAATACTACGCTTTGAGACTCTGTGAAGTGATATGTAGGTAGATATAATACTAATCTATGGATATAAACACATTTCAAGATACATGTGTGAGGTTTAAGGTGTTTTTGACAGCACGGGCCAAGTCGGGCTGAACAGAGACTAAACACTTTTGATTGAGGCTATGTTGAAAAATGAGAGACAATGGCTTCACTTTAACGGAGCAGTTTTCTTTACATGTTGCATTTTATAACATTACAAAGCGATATTTAGGTAGATATCATACCAGTCTATGGAATTAAACACATTTCAAGATACGTGTATTACGTTTAAGCTGCTTTTGACGGCTCGAGCCAAGCCGGGCGGAAAATTGTGGCCGAGATAATGTTGAGAGCGTGGGGAAGAGATCGTATCATTTGAATGTGGGCATGCTTTAAATACGATGAATAGTGAATTTATGGGGTGGTATGTGATTGGATATAGATGTAAAAACATTTTCGGGCCGACGGAAATGTGTATCGGAATTGGCTGACGTATTTATACGTTTTAAATCCCGTTTCGTTTAACGATTCCACTTTTAGACGTAACCTCGGTCAGCCAGTTCACAGGCTTCCCGTCTTCCTGGGTTTTAGCCGATTTACTCGTAATAAAGTTATTATGGTACGCGTTTGTGGCTTCCGATTGATCATTATTATCATGAGTGTATGTTGCATTGATTAATTGTAGGCATGGTTTTCGTTAATGGGTTTATTAGCCAATAATACATTTGGCCCGCCTTGGCCCGGCCCGCCGACTTTTAGGCCATCACCACTCTCCCTTGACCCCAGATGTTGATGTTATGACTTGTGACAGATCCCACAGCAGAGTTTCAGTTTTAGTTTAAAGACCCCAGCCCAAGGGGGTGTCCCCAGTTTGCCAGCAGGTATTGTTTAAAGGTTCCAGGTCACTGGACCGTGCTTATCTCTTAAAACAACAGGTGATTCACTTTTTAGTTACCCATGAGCTGGTGAACACAGTTCACCTAACCACTGAGCTGAACTGGTGAACACAGTTCATCTGAACTGACGCTAACACTTCTGCGATAGTACCTTCAGCATGTGTCCAAGTTTATGTTACCAGATCTACTCAATCGCCAGCTTAAAGAACGGCTAATCTGCGAGAAGAGACTGCTGCAAGATGGTGTCAAGACTTCACTTGCTTACGGACATATAGACTAAGGCTTAGTCTCTGAATATATATAATTTTGATAGTAACATACAAGCCCATTTATATTGAAAAGGAGCCATAGGGAGACCAGAGATTCAGAACCTGAACCTGAGGAAATCTAGACTTGCTTTTTTTAGGGCTTTAGCACTGCAGAGAGGGCTTGGCAGTAGGGAAATTAATGTGGTTCAGGGAATGTGAGACAGACTAACGGACATAGTGTATCTCACCTTGTGGGACTATGAATAATGATGTATGCATGTGATATTGTGTATAATGTGATATTTTGTAATAATGTATGTTTGTATCATGATGATAGTGCTAATATTGCCTAATGGTTGTATTTCATAATACTGTTGATGAGATTAATGATTATGATCATATGTGTGTTGAAAGGAATGAATGAAGTCACAGTGTCAATTTTATGGGTAGCCTAATTACCCCGGACTATATTACACAGGGAACAACTTGCCCTGCACGCTGATTCGTGTGTGTCCTCTAATCCCAGGTAATCCCCTGCTGGCTGCTGGCAAATTGGGGGGACACCAGCCCAAGACACCAGCCCCAAACCCCACCCCACCCCCGGTTTTACAGTATGCCCATAGTTTGTGGCTATTTCACTAATGATGCGAATGTCCGAAGAAGTCAAGACCAACAAGATGTAACAGACCACATGACACTAACCATTTCCAGATGCGAAAAATGCCAGGCTTCCAAATGTGCCACTCAAGATTCTAGCTATTTCTATAGTGACGCTTTGCATAGAGAACCCCCCATGATGTAGGGTACCTATTAGTCTCCCGTACAGACCCTGAAGCAAATATATCAAAGAAAGCCCATGCAAGTCTAGAAAATAAAGAAAGTCTCAGGGCTCCTTTTCATTATATATATATTTTTTTTACTATGAACGTTTTCTTCGTTAAAATATGTTCATTTCAGAGACTAGTTGTTAGTCTAGGTACCTATGTACCGTTGAGGAGGGGGTAGGGGGCGACTCTTTCCACATTATCATATGGCCAAATGGATAACGAAGAAGGTGATATTTCTAACCCGTATTTTCAAGTATGTCGATGCGAAAAATGCCAGGCTCCCAAATGTGCCACCCAAACTTTAAGCTATTTCTGTAGTGACGCTTTGCATAGAGAACCAACCATGATGTAGGGTACCTATGTACCCCTTGAAGAGGGGTAGGGGCGACATGTATTACCAAAACAATGTGGTAACAATAAGACCTCGGGACAATCCATGGATGAATAGTGCTATAAGAATACTATCAGGAAAAGAAATGGACAGCATAAGAAAGCAAAGACTCGAAATTATGATAAAGACTGGCAAAAATTTAGGCTTTTACGGAACAAAGTAACAGCAGCCGTGAGAGCAGCCAAATTGAAATATTTTTCTGATTTAGATGATAAGATCAACCAGGGGAGTAATTCTAAATTTTGGTGGGCTTTAGTGAATAAGTATATAAAATCCAAAAATGGAGATTATAAGAAATTTCCTTCGATTATTCATAACGATAATATGTTCAATGATAGTAAAGATAAAGCAAATATATTTAATGAATATTTTGCTAACCACGTACAAGTTGACTATCCTGATAAGGAGACTCCTACACTTGAATGTAAAGTAAAGACTCCACTTGCGTCTATTGTATTGACTACACAAGAAGTAAGAGACATCCTATTATCAGTTGATATTTCCAAAGCCAGTGGACCAGACAAAATAGGTAACAGATTTATCAAAATGATCGCGCCATCCCTTTGTACTCCTCTTACTAATCTATTCAATTTATCTCTAGAATATTGTAAATTCCCAACAATATGGAAGGAAGCTATTGTCACTCCTATTCCTAAAAAAGGTAGTTTTAATGAATGTAAAAACTATAGATCAGTTGCTCTTACCAGCTGTTTATCAAAGGTATTTGAAAAATGTATTTTTAAACATGTGTTTAACTTTTTTTTGTAGATAATAACGTATTAACGAATATGCAGTCAGGATTCATGTCTGGGGATGGAACTGTATACCAACTGACATACTTGTATGATTTTATACTACATGCATTAGACAATGGCAAAGAAGTCAGGGCAGTTTTCTGTGACATAAGCAAGGCTTTTGACAAGGTTTGGCATAAGGGAATCATAGCGAAATTAGAAGCTTATGGTATTAAGGGTAAGTTACTTGATTGGTTTTCCAGTAATCTTGACAATGAATGAATGAATGAATCTCTTTATTTCCTCCAGATTGTAGTCCGAAGATCATTATGAACATGTACATGACATATTTACAGCAACATAATCACAGCAATATATTCACAACACATTCATATAGTCATATATACATGTACTAAGAAAAATGAAAGGTCTAGAATGCACAGTTTAGTGAGGGAAGCAAGGAATATAGGTATTTACAGAAGAGGACAATCATACATCTCCATGACATTTCATCAATATCGTTAGTAACTAGTAGTTCACCCCCAGAAAATAGTGATAACATTTCATCTTCAGATAATAATTCTATTTGTACATAAACATCCACATCAAAGAGATCTATAAGTTTTGAAAAGAAATTATTTCTGTTGTACATATAGTGTTCACAGTGTAAAATTACATGGCAGTCATAATCATTACAGTATCTTTACATGTTGCATTTTATAACATTACAAAGCGATATTTAGGTAGATATCATACCAGTCTATGGAATTAAACATTAGATTTCAAGATACGTGTATTACGTTGAAGCTGGTTTTGACGGCTCGAGCCAAGCCGGGCGGAAAATTGTGGCCGAGATAATGTTGAGAGCGTGGGGTTGAGATCGTATCATT